TATAACCCATGAAGTTCTGGAGCTTCATGGAAGACTGGGCCAATCCCAGTCTCCCTTGGGGTCTCCCATCATACCCCGTTGACCACTCTCAATTTAGTTGACTTTGAAATTCTGAAACTCCTGCCTCCACTTTCTAAGTACCATGATTATAGTCTTGTGCCACCCACCATGCCTGACTTCAGTGGCTTCTTTCCAACTTCATTTAGTGACTCATTAGAATGGGGCATGAATACAATGAGCAGGTACTCTTAATCATCTTAAAAAAACACTTATCAGCTGGGCGGTGGTGCAGCACTCAGGAGGCAGAGGAAGGTGGATCTCTGTGAGTTCGAGGTCAGACTGGTCTACAGAACTACATAGAGAAACCTTGTCTCAAAAAAAAAAGAAAACAACAAAAAACAACATCTACCTCTGTGAGTCTAGGTTTTGCCACCCATAGAATAAAGACAGAACTCTGCCTAGGTCCTTTGATGAGTTATAACAGACTCAATGGTAACAACAACAAAAAACCAAACAGCACTGCTCATAGTTGGAAGACAGTGTTCCTTAAGGTAGAAGGACTGATGGGATCCTTTTTCTGATGAAGTTAGGACCAGAGCCTGTGTCCTGGCTACCCTTAACCAGACAGGCTTAGCTATTCATGCTCAATAGGCAAATTAAAAGAACCAAATTAGTTCACTGTGATGTGCCCAACTATAATACAGGTTTGCTGCAGGCAAGGTGGGGAAATCGCTCTGATGTTTTGGAAGAGCCCAGTCTATTTAGTGAGTTCCAGGCCAGCAAGTGACTCATAATGAGACTATTATTTAAAAGGAAACTGTAGACAAGAAGGAAAGCAAATTTATCAAAAAATAAGAAACATTATATGTATTCAGTGTGACAAAATTGGAATAGTGATGAAGATAGAAGTTAAGTCTTCTCTCCCTGGCATCCTGTTTAGATAGAAAGTAAGAGATATGCACAAGTAAGACATCTAACCAAGCCATAAAATAGATTTCCACTCATCCCTTAAGCCCACCCCCCATTCTTAGCTGCTCTATATGCTGCATGGTATTTGTTCAGATAAGGTACAAATGTTCCTTCAGCAGCCCTTTGTAGGATTCTGTTTCTTCCCAGAATGTGATTCCCAGAGGAAATTTGAATTTCATTCTCCACTGTTTGACTGTTAGTCAAAGGGAAAGACATGAATGTCTCTTTAGGATATCCTTATTCCTGTCAAGCAGTCAAGTTACAGGGATAACAGGGTGGGGAGCACCAGATGGGGGTATGCAGGGTGCTGTCACTGGCAGCTACACTATAGTTGCCAAGAACAAGGAAAGAGTGGAAGGCATGGAGGTTTCTAATCCACACAGCTGTGGAGATACAGAGAGCACACTTGGAAACAGCTTGTCCTCTGGAGCACAGTCCGTCCTGATCATTGCCCTCACATCCAAAACTCTGTCCCTAATAGTTCATCCATTTGCAAAATCTCTTTGCAAAAGCCTGCTTGCCCCATCCTTAGAGTGACTTCCATTTAAGTCTCAGGATCCTCTGATAATCTGGATGGCCTCTGGAGTCATCGTTACTCAGCGATCCTAAATGAAGGTTTTGCAGGCATCAAGGAAGTAGACTATGATCCCATTCTGACAAGTTGGTCTTCATTCCTCCAAGTTCCTTTTCTCTCCTTACAGGAGACAGAAAGCCCAGGAGGAATATATCCTTGTATCCTTGTGGACTCCCATTGCAGCCTCTTTACCACATTTGACATGAACTCAGGCTTATGGCTTTGGTCAAGTGGTCAGTCACTTTTTTTTTTTTTTTTGAGACAGGGTTTCCTGTGTAGCTTTGGAGCCTATCCTGTAACTAACTCTTGTAGACCAGGCTGGACTCGAAATCACAGAGATCTGCCTGCCTCTGCCCCCTAAGTGCTGGGATTAAAGTAATGCATCACCAATGCCCGGCACTCAGTCACTTTTTAAAAACTTGTCAATTTCTCTTGTGATGTGTTTTATACAGTTCTCTAATTTTTCAGAGATTTGGGCCCAGAAATATCTTTAAGCACCAAGAATAGATTAGTTTCTGACGCTATCAATCTTATACTTCTTCTGGGTCTTCAGGGCTGAGGTAAAAATGAACTTAGTTTCAGCCTTTTATACATTACTGTTATTAATGTCAGGTTCATGGGGCTGAATACATGGCTCAGAAACTACAGCAAGTCATCCACAGGGCCCGGCTGTGATTTCAAGCACCCAAAAAACAGCTTGAAACTCTCTGTAACTTCAGTCCTGGAGGATCTGAGAGCATCTTCTGGTCTCCCCTGATACTGGACATGCATTTGTTATACACAGTGGCAAGACTTATACACCTAAATTAATTTTAAAAAAGTAATACATATGCAAAGAAAACTTTTTAGCAATCTAGGATCACAAATATATCTGTCTTTTCACCATTTGTATGTCTGGTGCCATAGGAGGCCAGATGAGGCATCAGATCTCCTGGACCTGGAAATACAGGTAATTATGTTCTATCTGACATGGGTGCTAGGAACCAAACATGTGTACCCAACAGGAACTATGCTACTGAACAAACTCTCCAGCTCCCAAATATGTCATTATGATGCTGAAGATGATAATGCCCCATTATTCATTCTGTCTCCTATCATTTGAATGTGACAAAAGGCCCTGCCAGATGGTTGTCAAAGGATTCAATAACTTTCTATAACTCTGAATGGACTCTCCACATTGTTTCTTTTAATGGTTAACATAGTTCTCTTAATATAAGTAAAGATAACAAAAATTTCCATAACTTGAGAGATATGCTCTTTCTTTTTGGAAGTTTTTCAAGACAGCATATCTCTACATAGCCACGGCTGTCCGGGAACTCACTATGTGCACCATGCTTACTTCAAACTAAGAGAGAGTGGCATGCCACTATCTCCCAAATGCTGGGATTATAGGCATGTATCTACAAACCTAGCTGAAATACGTTTCTAAAATGACTTATCTTTGCAGCAGACTCGACTTGAGCAAATCCGAGGCATGCAGAAAGCACAGGAAGTGTGGTAGACTTCTTGGCCAGCTTAAGTACAGAAGCTACCTGCCACCCGAATACAGTGAGGCTGGGAGTGGTTGACTCTGGGTCGTGGAATTCCACCTGGCTAGACCGCAGAAGTGAGAGGACCGAATCCTAATTGCTAGACCACTAGGCCAGCGCATGGGCTGGTCACGGGAATCCAGCCACGTGGGCGCCAATTGAGGGTGGGGTAGTAATGAGTTCGCTAGATCTAATATAAATGATAAATGATAAATGGGTGTTTTGTTGGGGAACAACTTACACAGATAATAGTAAAGAACCTCCACGGCCTTCCTGCTCCAGAAGATGCAGTCTCTGTTCTTCCAATCCGATCTGCAACCGAAGAGAGAGAGTGAGCCAGTGAGAGATCACCCTACTCTTCTCCATCTTTCAGTCACATCAGCACCTGAGGCCACGCCCAAAGGAGTGTGGCCAGTAACACAAGTTCACAGGCAAGGAGATGATGCTACTGCATATCTTTGAATCAGGGAATTAAAGGATAAAATAAGAATCTAGAAGCAATCAGGAATGTTTTGATGAACATAATACTTAATGAAATTCTATAATACTTTAAACTGACAAATCATGTTGAAATGTTCTCAATAGCTGGATTATTTTCTTTGCTTTATTAACTCCATCCATTTCAAAGTGTTTGAACTATGTGTGTTTTTACCTGTGCCATGCTCTCTATGTGGCAGTGAGAGGATGACTTGCAGGTGTCTATTTCTGTTATGTGAATTCTAGAGATGAAACCCATAGTTTCAAGTGACCTCAATAGCACATATTTGAAGAGAACTGGGGGAACTCGAGCTTTAACACACTTATAGCATTCCTAAATCTTCCTATAGCGTGAGTCATACTACGTTTTCAAAATGAACCAGGCCAAACAGGCATATTTATACATTCCAATGCTAACGGTGGTTTTTGGCAGGGAGTTTGTTGATGCATTCCCAATGAAGTTGGAAAACCAATTAATTTTAAACTTGTATCACATTCAGAAATTCTACTCAAAGTGCACACAACTACATATCTTCTAATAACAGGAATATACCTAAACATAATAAAAGCAATTTACAGCAAGCCAACAGCCAACATCAAAATAAATGGAGATAAATTGGATGAAATTTCTCTAAAATCAGGAACAAGACAAGGTTGTTCACATTCTCCATATCTCTTCAATATTGTACGTGAAGTCCTTGGTAGAGCAAACAAAAGGAGATCATGGGGATACAAATTGGAAAGGAAGAAGTCACATTTTTAGGATTTGCAGATGCTATGATAGTTTTCATAAGTGACTGGAAGAATTCTACTAGGGAACTCCTACAGCTGATAAACACCTTCAGCAAAGTGGCAGGATACAAAATTAACTCAAAAAATTCAGTAGCCCTACTACATACAGATGATACTTTCATGGAGAAAGAAATCAGAGAAACATCACCCTTTACACTAGCCACAAAGCCCATAAAATATATCTTCGGGTAACTCTAAACAAACAGGGGAAAGACTGTATGACAAGAAAGAAATTAAAGAAGACACCAGCAATTGGAACGGTCTCCCATGCTCTTGGATATGTAGGATCAACATAGTAAAAATGGCAATCTTACCAAAAGTAATTCAATGCAATCCCCATCAAAATCCCGGAAATTTTTTTCACAGACCTTGAAAAGCCAATACTCAACTTTATATGGAAAAATAAAAGACCCATGATAGCCAAAACAACCCTGTACAATAAAAGAACTTCCAGATGCATCACCATTCCTGACTTCAGGCTCTATAATAGAGCTGTAGTCCTGAAAACAGCTTGGTATTGGCACAAAAATAGACAGGTAGACCAATGGAATTGAATTGAAAACCCTGATATTAACCCACACACCTATGAACACCAGAATTTGACAAAGAAGCTATATCTATTCAATGTTAAAAAGAAAGCATGGGGGTAGGTGGGTACGATGGTGGCAGACACCGGGAGCTGGCGCCTTTACGCGCTGCTGAGATTTTTTTTATTCACTATTCTTTCCTGGACTGATTATATGTGGAGTTCTGTGTGTATATTTGGTCATTGTCCTTTGGATAGCCAGGAGACATCTACAGAGAAAGAAAAAGTCAGTCTCAACCAGCAAAAATGGAAAAGAACAAATGGTGGTTTCCTTTTCCCATCCTTACTGCAATGCTGGCGGTGGAGGAGAAAGAGTTCTCTGGTGCGCTTTGAGAGCCCTGCAAAAAAAGTATCCTGAAGCCATTTGTGTTGTATATACTGGTGACATTAATGCCAGTGGTCAACAGATACTAGAAGGTGCTGTCAGAAGATTTAACATCAAGTTAGCTCACCCGGTGCAGTTTGTTTTCTTAAGGAAACGCTACCTTGTGGAGGATTCTCGGTATCCCCACTTCAAATGGCAGGGCCAAAGCCTCGGATCTGTTCTTCTTGGCTGGGAAGCTCTGACACAGCGTGTTCCTGATGTTTACATCGATTCAATGGGATATGCGTTCACACTGCCTCTGTTTAAATACATAGGCAGTTGCTGAATTGGGAGCTATGTCCACTACCCCACTATCAGCACTGACATGCTCTCTGTAGTGAAGAATCAAAACACTGGATTTAATAATGTAGCTTTCATTAGCAGAAATGCTCTTCTCTGCAAAGCAAAGCTCATATACTATTACTTTTGTTTATGGACGTGTTGTTCCTTGCAGTGATGTAGTCATGGTGAATTCTTCCTGGACACTAAACCATATTCTCTTGCTGTGGAACGTTGGCCATTGCACTAACATTGTTTATCCACCTTGTGATGTACAGACATTTCTGGACATCCCCCTACATGAGAAAAAGGTGACCCCAGCATATTTGCTGGTTTCCATTGGCCAGTTCAGGCCTGAAAAGAATCATGTTTTTCAGGAAGCACAATGTTGTATACATAATAAATAAATAAAATCTTTTAAAATAAAAAAGAATCATGTTTTTCAGATCAAAGCCTTTGCTAAGATGTTAAATGAAAAGGCAGCTGAGTCATAACCTTCACTTAAACTTGTCCTTATTGGAGGGTGTAGAAACAAAGATGATGAACTTTGAGTAAGCTAGCTGAGAAAACTGTCTGAGAATTTGGGAATCCAAGAAAATGTGGAATTTAAAATAAACATTTCATTTGATGAATTGAAGAATTACCTATCTGAAGCAACAATTGGGCTGCATACCATGTGGAATGAGCATTTTGGGATTGGAATTGATGAGTGTATGGCAGCTGGCACAATTATCCTTGCTCACAATTCAGGAGGCCCAAAGTTTGACATTGTCTTTCCTCATGAAGGACAAATAACTGGATTTCTGGCTGAGGGTGAAGAAGGCTATGCTGAAACCATGGCTCATATTCTCTCTCTGCCTGCAGAAAAGAGGCTTCAAATCAGAAGGACTGCTCGAGCATCTGTGAGCATGTTTTCTGACCAGGAGTTTGAAGTGTCATTCCTGTCTTCTGTGGAGAAGTTAGGTAATGCCAAATTTGTAACATTCTAGATAATTTCTACAAAATGGAGCTGAGGGTGTGGAACAGAGGTAGAACCTGTGATTGTTGTGTGCAAGGTCCTGTGTTCCATATCCAGCATCAACAAGAGGAAATGCTTCATTTGGAAACACCTTCACATGTAAATATTTTCTAAATGCATTAAAGGCAACCTGAGGGGGAAAAAAAAAGCATCTTCAACAAATGGCACAACTGGATGCTGGCACGTAGAAGACTGAAGATAGATCCATATCTATCGCCATGCACAAAACTTATGTTCAAATGGATCAAAACCCTCAACATAAATCCAGCCACACTGAACCTCTTAGAAGAGAAAGTGAGAGGTACCCTTGAACGAATTGGTAGAGGAGACAGACCACTTCCTGAACATAATATCAGTAGCAAGACAACAATTAATAAATGGGACTTCCTGAAACTGAGAATCTTCTGTAAGGCAAAGGACACAGTCAAGAAGATAAAACAGCAGCCCACAGAATGGGAAAAGATATTCACTAATCTCACATCTGACTAAGGGCTGATTTCCAACATATACAAAGAACTCAAGAAACACCAAAACACCAAATAATCCAGTTAAAAAGTGTGGTACAGACTTAAATACACAATTCTCAATAGGGGAATCTAAAGTGGCTGAAAGACACTTAAGAAAGTGTTCAATATCCTTAGCCTTCATGGAAACAAAAATCAAAACAACCCTGAGATACCATCTTACTCCTGTCAGAATGGCTAAAATCAAAAACACCCATGACAGTTTGTGCTGGAGAGGAGGTGGAGAAGGGAGATTACTCCTTCACTGCCAGTGGGAGTGTCAACTTGTACAGCCACTCATTTGTCAATTCCAGGACATGGTAAGCATGTGCCAGTTAGTGGAGTCAGCTAAAGGAGATGTTTTCTTTTCATTTTTTAAAACAATATTTAATTTTTTTATTGGTTTATAAATTTTCTTTTCTAAAAATAGGTTTTCCAGCAGAATACTGAAATAGGAAATAGATCAATGTTACGATTATATCTTAAAAAATTATCTCTCACTATAAGACAGTTTTTAGACAAAAAAATGACAGGTGACTCATAAACAGAACACTTAGTATCCAAGTTAAAAAGAACAGAGTATAAGTGATAACACCCAATAAAACTCATAAAATTATATAATAGAGCTTCTTCAACCACTTAAAGAATATTAAAAATCACATGAATTTATAACTATTAGATAGATGTTTATATAAGCATTTTGATCCTGGTACTATTTGGGTAATTCTGAAGGTATTTTTTTTAACTTTAAAATATTCTTTGTAAAACTTTTACTTCACTTTGAATGGTAAGTCTTCATTTAGTAAGTCTACTGCTTCAAAAAGTTTTTGTTCATGAAATCGTGTGTGAGTAAAGAGTAAATTAAAAGACCTCCTTGGTGGCTGGGCGTTGGTGGCACACGCCTTTAACTCCAGCATTCGGGAGGCAGAGGCAGGCAGATCTCTGAGAGTTCGAGGCCAGCCTGGTCTCTAGAGCGAGTTCCAGGATAGGCTCCAAAACTACACAGAGAAACCCTTTCTCTAAAAAGACCTCCTTGATTGCTTTTCTACGTCTAATAAAGATTTTTATGTGTAAAATTTCTCTTACAATGATTTAGTGATTTGATCATACACTCTTGTCTCTTAGTAATTCAAAGAAACACTTAACTAGATAAGGTAAAACTTAAAAATGTATTAATATACTAACTCAGGGAAATAAAAGTAACCCCCATTTTCACTGGTAAAAGACAAAAGAAAAGAGGAGTTTTACAAGTTATCTCTCCAAAACAGAAGCAGATGCAGAGGTTGTTTGTTTCTGCTAGAGTACAGATCATGGACTGTGGCCCCTGTCCACTGAGGGCACTTGGTCACCTCCATTGCTCTCTTTGCCCACTTGGTAGGTGCGCAGCTGTTCTATCAAGCCAGGATTCGGGCAAAGCATTGGTGAATTCAATCTCTTCAGAACTCATCAGGAAGCCAGTGACAATCGCAGCAGGCCTTGTAACCCCTGCATTACAGTGAACGAGAACCATGCCATCCTTCAGTTTTGCTTGCTCAATAAACTCAAAACATTCTTGTGTTAGACCCCTGGAAAACTCAGGTATCCGGGGTCCCAGGCCACGACTGCGGTCACCCCAATCACCAGGAGGATTCCAGAGCTTGCTGCAAACTGCATGAGGCTTTATTGTAATTTAACGAGCTAACCCCATGTTAGCTTGGGTCTTTCACCCACCCGCCATGGTGGATGGCTAGAAAAGACAGCTCCTAGGGCCTCCCAAGAGATCTTACAGGACAGCGTAAGGGGAGTGTCTAGGGGTACGCACAGGCTCACGATTGGTGTGCCTCCAGGCTTGGAGGGCTTGCCCTGTGTTGATTGGTCAACTGGTTGTTATGGCCCATAGGCCCTCCCAGGGTGGTTGCTATGCTTTGTGTGTCATTGTTGTGCACTTGTCAGTAAAGCACACCCAGGGTTGTAAAGCATAGCGCCACCAGCTAACTTCTGATTGGTTCCTTGTCACGAGGCAGGCATCTGACTTTCTAGTGACTTACTAACTACTAATTGGTTCCTTGTCACAAGGCAGGCATCTGACCTCTAAGTGACCAAGGCAAGTTAATGGCAAGCACGTGTTTGGCTGTTATGGCTGCTGAAAGGGGAGCTGGTCCCTTTACTTGTGCTTTCTCAGGAGCTCCAGATCGTGAGCAGCATCCTGCCACCCTTCCTTCCCCCCTCTCTCCTTCAAATGATGGTGGCAGTGGAGACAACTGCTGAACCATGGGCTCTCCCACTCTGCCGGGATCCTCTTTGAGGCTCTCTGGGCCTAGCCTAAAGGGGCTACAGTCGCTTCCAGGGGCTGCTCCTCTTTTGTCTTCCTTTTTTCTCTCTCTCTCCTGTTGCCCCTCTTAGGAATGTGGTTGTGTTCTCTAGACTACTTCCTGTTGTCTGGATGTAACAGCATTTTTAGGGGACCCACACGACAGAGCCTATTCGTGTCTCCTCCGGATGGGTGCTGCTCCCTGATAATTCTCCAATCAGATCATCTCAGGAGCTCGAGCTGCCCTCGCTTCCGACCTCCTTCCTCTG